GAGTTCCCTCATGCCTGGTCTGAGCGCCTCTTCAGACACCCAGACAGCAGGTGAGGCTAGAAGAGCGGCAGAGGCCACCCTGATGCCCGGGTGCTTTTGACCTGAGTGGTTCCAAGGCACAAGGTCAGAATTGGCGTAAAAAGGCTTCGCTGTACCAAGGCCCTCTTCTCCATGTTCCCTTCAAAAACACAGAGAGCAGCAGCATTACTATTTTTACATTTTAAAATAACGATAGACTCATAGGAAGCTTTTACAATTAAAGAGTCCTACAAATTCTTCCCTTGCTGTTGTAGCCAGCAGTCATGTGTCACCACAATGGTGACAATCTTACAGTATACTGACATTAGCACAATATACTTTGAATCAAGACTGGAAATCCGACCCAGTTTTCACCAGTTCTGCATGCATTCATCTGCACGGGTGCACTTCTGTGACATTTAAATCTGTGCTTGTGCTCAGAAGGCAGACTGTCCAGTCCCCTGAGGACTGCCCTTCCTTCGCTGCCTTTCTCCTTTCCTTTCCTGTCCCCTGGAGACTGCTAAGCTGTTCTCTCTCTGCACTTTAGTCATTTCAAAAATGGCATACAAGTGGAAATTTACAATTTGAGGGTTTTTTCACTATGCATAATGCCCTTGAAAGTTATCCAAGTTTGGAGGTGGCAACAGTATGTTCCTTATTGCTAAGCAGTATTCCACTGGGTGGAAAAAATAATACGTACAGTGTATAAATTGTGGAACTTTTTTTGTGCTCTTGGGGGTTGAACTTAGGGGCCTCAATTTGAGATAAACTCTCACTACATTGCTGATTTGCCCAGCTGGATCCTTCTGCCCAAATTGCTGGGATTTCAGGCATGCACAATGTCCAGCTATTTATATATATTGCACCAGGGATCGAACTCATGACCTTGCATTTGCCAGGCAGGTGCTTATGCTGCTGAACTAAATCCCCAGCCCTTCATTATTAATATTTTTGTTTTGTTTTTGGAGATACAGTCTCACTCTGTAGTTCAGTCTGGCCTTGAACTCGCATTAATTCTGCCTCAGCCTCTCAAGTTCTGGGATTACAGCCATGCAACCAGCTATTATTCTTTAAATACTAAAAATGAAACTTTGAGTCTGAGACAGAAGGCAAGTTTGAGCCCAGGCTGGGTCATTTAGTGCTCAGTGGTAGAGTACTTGCCTAGCAAAACTGAGACCGAGTTCAATCCAAAATACTGCAGAGCTGGTGGTGGTGGTGGTGGTGGGACTTAATGATACATCAGTTTTAGAATTTAACAACAGGTTTCAACAGATGTCCAATCCAAGATTCTTCAGTAGGAATAATTTACTCTCCACATTTCAAATTGTATGATACAGCATCTGAATTTGCCAGTTCTCAAATATACAAGCCTTTTTAAGATTTTATGCCCCATGAGGTTGGGGGCTGCATCTTGTTTCTGCAAACTCCTGTTGAGCCTCACAGAGTCCCTTGCTGGGGCAGGTTGGTTTTTATGGTGCATGCAGGGCTCGCCCATGAGCTGCAGTGAGGGTCTTCCTGGGTCCTCGGTCCCAGGGATTTCCCAGAAGGCAAACTGGCTTGTACACTGCAGGTGGTGGCAGGCAGCACAAGCCATTTCTCATGCAGAGAAACTGAGGCTGACAGAAGAGAAGCTGTTTTGTTTTGAGTATCCAACTCGGTTGACTGAAACCGGGCTATACTGTTGACCAGAGGAGAGCATGCCAGCTTCATTGGGGAGCACATCACCACAACCCGGTGCGGCTTACACTGGCATCACTGCGGATGTGCTGTAGGATCAATCTTTGCAGAGGGTCGCTCCATCCAGACTCCAGTCATCTCCCCCAGGCTGTGCCCTGGCTCTGTGGCTGTTTGGTCAAGAATTAAATGGGATGACCAGCTCTGAGGACTCTGATTGCAAAGTTGTTTCTGCTCCCCAAGGTCATTTCTGACGGCGTCCACTCTGTTTTTTGTGCCTTTAGTGTCATCTTATCAAAGTACATATTGTCAGGAGTCGAAATTGGCTCCTGAACAGATTTTGCTTAATCCCACTGAGTAATTCAGTCATCAGCACCAGCAGTCACCCAGATTCATCTCGGTTGGAGGATGACTCCCGGGGAAAGCCTCTTTTTAGGACTGCATGACTACATTGCTGAAAGGGAGAGAAAAGCTGGGAGCCTGTGGCGGTGCAGGGGCTGGTGTGACCCCAGGCAGGTCATGGGAAGTGTAGGTGGGGGAATGAGTACCAAGCGTGAGGAGTACTTGGTTTATGGTGGAGGAGGTGCTGTGCCGGAGTGAAACGGAAACCATCCAAAGTCTGCAAAAATGAGAGTGCAGCGTCTCTACCCAGGATAGGTTTAAACTGAACAGCTGGGACTAGACACCTGCACTGGCCCGTGGTCAAAGGCGGCAGCAAGAGCAGGCGGCTGCTGGCAGCAGGTGCCATGTAGTGCTGAGCCTGGCGGTAGCTCTGCTCCCCACCCTGGCTGTGGAGACAGCAGGGCAGGCTCTGTCCTTTACTTAGGCTCTGTCTTTAAGTTTGTGACACTGTCGGTCCTTTGCAAAGCCTGATCACCCTCATTATGCTAGTCTTCAAGCATTTCTTTTTTTTTTTTTTTTTGTCTTTTTCCTTTTTATCGGTACCAGGGATTGAACTCACGACTGCTTGCTTGCAAGGCAGGCACTTATGCCGCTGAGCTAAATCCCCAGCCCTTCTTCAAGCATTTCTGAGAAATTTGATTCATTTCATGGTTTCTTAAAGAATCACCATTATATTCCAGCGCATCATTGTACTTAGGCTTGTTACCTCTTTGCCATCTATACAATGGCAGAGGTAGAGCTGAGGATCCTCGCAAGGCCCGCCTGAACGCTTAAACAGGACACTGCTGGCTGTTACTGCTGAGTGGCATCGAGCTGCGTGGCTGTGAGGTACTAACCACCAAGTACCTACACCGAGCCCACTCTTCATGCTTACATCCTTTGAGACACAGATGTGGAGCCGTTTTTCGGCCACATTTCTGGATTGGTAAAATTCTTATGGACCTCACCCTTGAGGGGACAGTGGGCACAGAAATGAGACATATGGGCATTTGAGGAGACAGTGAAGCCCGTCTGTCCATTTGGGATAATCTACTCTTCTTGCTGTTCCCTTGGCTGGGAAGTTTGTTCTCCGTGTTGCAGCTCTTAAGGCCACTGGGACCTATTACTGAGGCTCGATCAGAAATCAAGTTTCCCTTTGTAAAGTGTCCTTGAACACAAGCTGACTCCCACGCCCTGAGCCGAGAGCTGCTCCTTCACAAAGGGCTGCTTCTATTTATTTTTTGGTCTTTTTGAGTTGGTTTCACGACTCAGTTCAGCCTGGTCTTGAACTCACTTTACGGCCTCGCCTGGCCTCAAACTTGAAGCAATTCTCCTGCCTCAGCCTCCGTAGTGCTGGGATTACAGGTGTGTGCCACACCTAGCTTGCTTCTATTTTTAATTTTGTAAAAACCACTGGCACTTTCCCACCCCTGAAGACACCAGGTCTGGACACTGGGAAAAGGAGCACTGGCTTTACAAATTCCTCGATAAGGCCTGACTTAGGTTGATCTGGTTTTTTTCATTTTCTTAAATTTCTGTTCATTTCTACTTTCTTTCTTAACAGTCTCATTGAGCTGTCCACATTGGCGCATGCTCCTGCTTCAGCCTCATGAGTAGCCGGGATTACAGGTGTCCACCATGCCTGGCTGCTGCTTCTTCCTTCCTACGCTTATGCGACAGGGTCTTGCTGTGTTGTCTTGGCTGGCCTCAAACTCTCAGTGACCTTCCTGCCTCAGCCTATTATGTCTTCACTTTTTTTTTTTGTCTTTTTCCTTTTGATCGGTACCAGGGATCGAACTCACGACTGCCTGCTTGCAAGGCAGGCGCTTATGCCGCTGAGCTAAATCTCCAGCCCCAGCCTATTATGTCTTAAGATTACAGGTGTGTGCCACCAGGCCCAGGTGCTTCATTTTTGGTGTCTGTCTTAGGCTAGTGGAAGTGGGGCAAGCTTTGAAGTTATGACGTGCAAGCCTCAGGTGGCTGTTAAGCAGGTAAATGCATGAGCTGGTCACTTGGTCCCCACCTCCAACTTGCTTAGCCACAGGGCGGCCCTGCTCCAGCACTTACTGGCCTCACTGTGGGCGACTTGGCCTTGCCTAGGGAACTCCCTGCAGCGGCAGCTGTCGGGAGCCGCATCCTGCTAAGTCAGCTCTTCTCCTTGCTCCTAAACCATGTTCTCATCCTTGTTCCACTTCACTTCCAGCTTTTAAACCAAGAACCTAGGCCTTCCAGAACTATCAACGGAATGCTCTGATGTGTTCACGCTCGTCATCTGTCCCCCAGATGTATTCATTTCCTGGATTTATTAAGGAAAAAAAAAAACCCCAAAACAAACATTGTTCAGTCAGTGGCTTTGTTCTGAGCCTATCAGTCATTCTGTCTCTCAATCAGTAAAAAAGGACTTCCAACCCCAGGAGACCTCGCCTGGGAGAGTCTGTATGAATGGTGGGAGCATCATTGAAGCGGAGTGATGCAATCAGTCTGATAACCGGAAAACTGGAAAATGTCTGGATACTCTCAACATATTAACTCGTAGAAAACCAGCAGCAGCTGTTGTATGGTGATTGTATGGAGAGTCTGTGAACCGAGCACAGAGAACAAGGCCAGAATGGGAGACCCTGGCCTCCGGAGTTCAGGTGCTTCAGAGGCCGGCCAGCGTGGGGAGGTGGTGGTCAGGCAGGTAACCAGCATCACCAGGATTACTCAGTGTTAAACACGAAAGTGCAGATGTGAAATAAACTAAGTGATTCCTCTACTGAATGGGAGCATAGGAAGTAATTCCTCTAATGTTACGAGATGGAGTTTGTTACTACCAGAATGATCGTATCCACAGCAGCGCTCAACTGATGTGTTTTCTCTTAAACTGCTGTGTCTTCTGCTAAGTGGATGGTTAGGGAAATCAGCAGTATAAATTAAGAGTTAAGACATTTAAAGAGACAAAATATTTTGATTATTTTATTTAATCTTCAAAATTTTCTGCCATGACACAGGAATGCATGATAGAAATGGCTCAACATCTTCACATGAAACACTTGGATTCATTTTCATTCACAAGTTTTCCTAAAAACATCTATAATTTCATAATCCCACCCACTTCCAACCATTATCACAGATTTAACTGACCATTAAACAGTAGTTGCCAGCATTAGACAGCTGGAACGCTTTCTGCGTATTAGTAGTGTCTTTGGAAACTACCACCCAAGAGTATCACGATGATAAATCTCATGTACATGGCAACCCCAAAGGTGACTGATGTCCTCCAACTCCCTGCTTATCCAGGAGAGCTGCATCTTCCAGGTACTTAAAAGAACACACCTTCTGCTCCTAGACTTGCTTGCTCATGTAGTATCTGGCTTGCAGGGAGCAGCACATGCTGACCCAATGGTTCAGCACCGCCGCTAACAGGTGGCTGTGTGCGCCTGATCCTCACTGGTGCTCTCTGCTAACTATGTACAGGACAGACTGGGAAAAGTCAGGATGCTTGGAACCTATCTTCTTTTGAAGAGAACTACATTGAGGTTTTTTAAAAAAAGTTGTAAACAAAAGGAAAGAGATATACACAGACACATACCTATACACATAGCTGGATACTGAGTGTCTCTGATGTGGCACATGTCTTCTTATCTAGAGATGCACACAAACACAGAGGGTCTCCACTTGCCCCTTCACACACACTGTCACCCTTCCATACGATGTGTGACTATAAACGTTGCAAGTGTTCTTGGGAGCTTACTGGAGTTTCCATATACCAAATGATGATGAAATACCTGATACGCATTACTCCTGAGAAGATACTAGAAGGGAATGACAGTTCTGACGCACTTTGGAATGGCACAATCACGTAAACTCTTGCATACTTAAGACTTCTGAACTTACCCAAAGTTTCTAAACATGATCAAACTAAAAAAAAAAAAAAAATGTATCAAAACACTGCAGCAAGTTAAAAAGTAAAAAAAAAAATTGTACTCAAAGTATAAACAAATATATAGGAAATACATATTTGTCAGTACTTAAAGTAGGAAATAATATGTAAGAAAAACAGTTGTTTGACGGAACTTAAAAAAAAAAATTCCAATGCAGAAAAATACATGCATTGCCCCAGTAAGAGACAGCCATATTAAATTTGCAAGGCGTCTAACAACTTCATCAGAAAAAAATACAAATAGTAAATCTGTGAAGTATGCAGTTTATAAAAAAATTACTGTGACTATTATTCACACTTCTGTTAAAAAGGATTTGCAATTTGCTGAATCTTATCCCTCAATACAATTAATCTAAGAAAATTACAATTAAACAAATGGATTTCAAGCACCAATTCAATCACTTAAACATACTGTGTTTATATTTCTCCTGTTGAGGGAACAAATAATGAAGGCGGCTAAGTAGAATCTGGTAATTAGCTAGGTAATTATTACAGCTTAGATTTAAAGGCATGTGGTTTTTTTTCTTCCATTCACTCGAATGCCAAACATTAGAAAATGTTTAAGCAGTAAAAGGCTCCTCGGAGGAATCCCACATTTCTGAGTATCAATGGTTTAATATACATTAAAAGCTCTTCAACAAACCAATGCTTAGTTCTAAGATAAAATAGATTTGCACACCAGAAATTAAGAACTGTTCCTTGTTTTAACTTAGAAAAGGCAGCACCTATATAGTAGACTAACAAGCACATCTGGACATCTACCGGTAGTGTAAAAAGTCATTATTATTTAAGAAGGCAACACCATTGCACTGGGCAATACTGAAGTTTTTCTTAATTAAGAAATTTCCATTAACTTTGGTGGGAAGACATTGCATAAGAGTGCTCCGCTGCTCCAGGCACCTGCCTGCATCAGGGGAGTGGCGTCTAGGCCAGCAGATGAGTAACAGTGTGTGCGATGCCTCTGGCTGTTCCTGAAGAAAATGCATTCAGGTAACAAGGAGTTTATTTCAACCAATATAACTGCTGCTTCTGTTTCCAGTATTTACATCATTCCACTTACATGCACAGTGACTTCCGAGACAGAATTAATGTTTCAGTCTTCTACTGCTAAGTTTGGTTAATTTTCAACATATACCAAGCCAAGCTTGGCTGTATCTGAAAGACTGAAGGATACTGAAGCAGGGACCACGTGGGAAACACCACCTCCACCCACAGCGATGCTCCATCGCGGCTGACCCCTCATCTGAACCTCACCGTGGAACCCGCTGCTGAAGGAGAAGAGCGGCGCTCCAGCCAGGGCCTCAGGGCAGCGGGGCGGCTTGCTGCGGGTCCTCCCGCCGCTGCGGCTCCGGCTGCGGCTCCGGCTCCTGCTCCTCGGGGGCCGGCCCCTCATCGGCAGGCTCCCCGAGCTCTTCGCTTCCACCCTCACTCTGCTCCTCTCCGTGCTCTTCATGGGCTGCCGCCGTCTGCTCCAGGCTGTTCTCCAGGAGCGTGGGAGGACTGCTGCTTCTACTGTGGTCTTCAGCGGTCTCATTTAAGGACTGGGAAGGGGCTGGCGCGTGAGTGTCAGGCTGGACGATGCCTTCGGTGGAAGAGGTGAGGGCTTTGGCTGAAGTAGTATCTGCCGAGATCTCATTCTGAGGCAAGGACAACTTCTCCACAAGCTTCCACTGAATGATGCTCATGTCTTTTCCACCAGTTGAAATCAGGTGACTGTCATTATGAGTAAAGCTGACATTGGTGACGTGGCTGCTGTGGGCACTGTACTTGTGACTGGGAGCCTGCATGAAACGAATGAGGCAGACAAGAGCATTAAACCCGTCCTTCCACACCTGCCTCCAGCAATGGAGATGCACAGGAAAGGCAGGTAACTCAGCTTGTAAAACCCTTAACTCAAAGCTCCAAATTGCCAAGTCTAAGGAATAAAGCTAGTAGCAATTTCCTTTTAGTCCCTCTTTATTGTATAAAAGGACACAACAGCTAGGTGTGGTAACCTATGCCTGTAATCTCAGCACTTTTTGAGAGGCAGAGGCAGGAGGACCACAAGTTTGAGCTCAGTCTGGGCAACTCAGTGAGACCGTCTGAAAGAACTGGGGATGTAGCTCAGTGCAAAGGCCCTAAGATCAATCCCAGGCAGGCAGGTGGTGGCAGTGGCTGACGATAACTGGATGGACATCTGTGCTTTCATATCATATGTTTTTAAAACAATTTTATTTATTTATTTAAAAGAAACCACCACATATGAAGTCTGCCTCTCTTGGATGTTGGTAATACACTTGCCAGGGACTAAGCTTCTCTTAAGATGACCAGAGGAGCATTTACTAGGGTGGCAGGATTATAAGACGACTTAGGAAACAGGATTAAGGAAAACAACATCAGTTGCCAACTCTCCAGCTGTTCTCTCTTTTGCCTTCACGAGGAAGGATAAGACAAACAGTGTCTGCAGGGTACAAGCAGATGACCCTACTGTTCCCCTGGGCAGCATGGTGTCACGGGGAGGGTTACTAATTCCAGGTATTTTCTTGGCAGTGACACAAAATTATCTCCCCAAAAAAGGCCCCACCACACTGCTTTCAACACTGCTTTCTATTCAGTGTGCTTACCTTTGCTTTGGAGCAGGGGTACTGAAACAGATGGACTTTACAAAAGTCATCAGCAACAGCGATCACCTTTCTGTTGTGGGATCGCACCAGTGCGTTGATGTCTGTCCCATCGGACCCTTCTGGCCAGACACCTTTGATATGGAAATGTAGGGAGTTAAAACGTTAGCCAAAAACATACACTTGTGACACTATGTATATTAAACCCAAAGAGTCTCAGGATGGAAAACTTAGACTCAACACTACTCAGTACTAGCCAGTAGGTGGTGCTAAGTAATTAACTGCAGCTTGCCTCATCTCAACAATAAATGCTTCAAAGTTTTTTCTCATTAGAGGAAAGGTTTTAGTTACTTGTACAGCCAGGTGCCAAGTCAGAGCCACAGCACTAAGTATTCCAGGTTCCTTCCAAGCAGGTCCCTCTAAGAAGACCCCAGGAGCTTTCTTATGGCAATGAATAGCCCGCCCCCCCCCCCCCCACTGGCTAGTACACAGGCCAAAAGAACTTTCCTGGCAACATTATTCATTTCCAAGACATACCGAATGTAGTAACGCTGAGTCCCTATGAGGCAGGCATTGGTGACCAAGTCAACATAATTAGCATAAACTTGTATTTGGCTAAATTAAAACTATGGAACATTTAAGGGTTGAGATACTTGGTTTCCTGTGGCTGAACCATACTCTAAGAGAACAAATCTGTTTTTGGAAATTTGTTAAAAATAAGTCAAAATACTTTTAAAATTGGTAATTCTAACAAGCAAAAACAAATGAACAAAAAACAAAAACCCTGCCTCTTTAAAATCACCAGGGAAGTTACCACTTGAGTCTCACTCAGAATAATGAAAATTATTTACAGACAAGTCAGGATTTTCAATTTCTTCCTAACCTATTTTCCATCCTGACAGCACCTGTTTTAGGTAAATAATGTATACTGGGCCATTTTTGTAACACATTGCATGAAAACATGTTTGGATCTATGATCAGAGGGTTGAGACATATTCTTTTTTTTTTTTTTTTTTGCGACATATTCTTAAAGTGAAAGACAATATTTTTGTTACTTGCTCTGGGTGCCACATCCATATCTAGAGTATTTTAACTACTAAGTCTGACATCGGTTTTAATTCTTTACAAAAGGGTTTGCTATTTTAACATTTTCATTTATCTTCAGAGCCTTTCAGGAAGATATTTAAAGCTGCAGAAAGGCTTAGAAAAAACTGCATAGAGGACAGATTTCTAGAGTATCCAAAATATCAGATTAGGAATAATCTTCAAATTTTATCTTTAAATACTGTCTACTAAATGGGCTGGGGATATAGCTCAATGGCACAAATGCCCACATGGCAAATGTGAGGTTGTGAGTTTGATCCTTGGTACCAAAAAGTCTACTAAAAAGTCTTTGTAGACTGATAAATAGCATTGGGATGCAACATTCACATGTGAGCGGAGTAATGCAGTAATCCAGGGACAGGAGAATTGGACCCCGCATACACCACTGCTAGAAATGTAAATGGTGCAGCCACTATGGAAAACTTTGCCGGTTCCTCAACAGGCAAAACTTGTTTACTGTTTGACCCAGCAATTTTGCGCCTCATGGTATACTCAAGAGAAATGAAAACATGAACAGAAAACCTCACACGTAATTGTTCACAGCAGCGTTTTTATATAATAGCTGAAAAGTAGAAACAGCCTAAGGGAGTAGCCAAAAAATGAATGAATAACAAAACCCAGTATGTATCCAGACAAAGTGTTCTGTGAGTCACAGATGAAGTACTGGGGGGTTTTGTGCTCACTGAAACTGTCATGGTAAATGCAGGAAGACAGTCTCAATGGATCGCATATTGGATGCTTTCATGCAGAGCAATTATCAGAATAGGGAAGTCAACAGGAAAGAGTTTCTGTGGCTGGGGAGAAAGGAGATGATAAACATGTATCTTGCAGGTACAGGATTTCATTTCAGTGTGATGAAGATATTCTAAAATTAGACCACAAAGATAATTTCACACATTTAAATATAAAAACACCACCGAGTTGTACAATAAAGGTGAGGTGTACTGTATGTCAATGAGATTTCAATAAAGCTGCTATGTTTTTAAAAGTGGCTTTACCCATTTAAAAACATCAATTTTCACTTGCAGGAAAAAAGTAGGGACATTAGTTGCACTACTATATAAATTCAACTGTCTTTCATACTTACTGGGTACCTGTCACACTGGGTTCTGCAGGGAACCAACCCCATATTGGTTCAATCTTAGTCTAGTTCGATCTTAGTCTTAGTTCAATCTAATTTTTCTGAATCTGACATAATAGGGATAACATTAAATATTTTTCATTTATAGATTTAAGCAAGTAAATATATGACATATGAAAACCTAACAGTGTCTTTTTATCATGTATCATGTTCTTACCAAAGACTTGAAAGCCTAGCACGCAGGTATATGTTGTCCAATCAATGTCCTTACAATCCGATCGATTTCTGATTAGTTTGCAGCCGTTTTCAATGTCCCCTTTAAATTTAGAAACAGGAAGTATAATTATGCACTGTGCACAAATGTATTTTAAAGTCCATCTTGATTCAAACTTGCTATGTTTATTTGTATTTACAAGCCATACATTGAAAAGTATTAAAAAATATTTAAAAAGGAAAATAAAATGTTTATCAACAGGTTTTCTAGAACTATAAATTGTTTCCCATGGAAACTTTTCTCTAAAAAGAATAATTGCCTACCCATGTTTTCGCTGTGCTTCCACGAAGCTGTTAAATGAAAAACCACTCCGAGCAGCATCCATCTCACCGAGTAACTTATTACTACACGTACCTTCATTTCCACCCCATTAAGTAAATTCGTTACTTTCTTGGAAAAGTGAACCGCATCTGAGATTCTCATTACTCTGCTCAGAGTAACATATGCTTTAAAGTCAGCATTGACTCTCTGCATAATTGAAATTCCACAAAACCTGGTCTAAATTAGCGCTACCAGCAGACACATCCTAGCACATCTAATCATTCATACTTACAGTACAGTATCTCATAGTCTCCCGAATTAGACATTATATGCTTGTTGTCTGGGGACCAGTCAAGGTGTGTGATGTAGCTGGAATGTCCCTATAGAAAAACAGATCAACTATTAGAAAGCTTTTAGAGTTTTGAATGAGAACTAGTTTAACAGCCAATATTGCTTTCTAGTCCCCACTCCTGAAGTCAGGATTTCCATAGTACAAAGCGGGCTCTGCTCATGAACAAGGTCCGTAATAGCCCTCGGTGCTGCCTCACTGTCTTATTGGAAGCCAAAGATGCCGGATGTGGAGATGCTAGAGGTACGGTCAAAGCTGGGGCTGGACTGGAATTCAGGGAATTGCACCACAATGAGAATGTGAAGCACCCAGAACCTAGGAGAATCTTCCTGGTCTCTCTACCTAAATACCAGAAACCAGTGCTTGCTGCCTCTGCTAGAGACAGTCTCTCAGCTTCTGTCTTAGAGGGCAGCGCAACAGATACCAGATCTGTCACTGGTGTCTCTGTTACACTGCATGCTGAGAATGAAGTACGCACAGTTCTCGTGGGCTGCATGCTGGGTGTGACACCCACATGTAGTCAGAATGGGGGACTCCTAAAAACTCTTTCTCCAAAGAATCTTCCATGAGGAAAAGTTACCCAACTCTAGACTCCTTTCTTCTGATCCAATACTGGTCTCTGATTCCTCAAAACTTTCCTTAAACAGGAAAATTCATCTTTAGCTGCTTAGGTTTTACCACCACTGTTTGTACTAAAAAAACCTACTCAATGCTGAATTTTGCTGGCTTTCATATAAGCATCTGATAGTTTCCAATAAACTGTATCAGATAAATTACCCAGATTTTATGATTTTTCAAAGATAACGACTCAAATTCACCGATTTCCTACAGTCTAGTTTTGTACTCCAGCATCTTTAAGTCTAATGATATAGTCCAAGGTCTTTCTGGACCCATAATCTCCGTGACAGTGGTAAACACATGTCCCCATGTTTAAGTGAATTTAAATTATGTGAACTTGAGAACTGTGGAGTTTTAGAAAAATCATTAGATTAGGTCATATAACAGAAAAGATGTTGAGAATCACTTGCTAGGCACACAAAGGCCATATCAATGTCAGGTAAAATCAGTTTTTAAAGTATCAGAAGAAGGAGGTTCACTCAATGTTTTGAACAGCATATACAAGTCTGAGGCTGGCTTGCATGTCTGAGGAAGCCATGTTTTGAAATAAGCTTGCTACATGAATGGAGGAATTAACTGGACAGATGACGGCAATGTACAGTCCTTCCAGATGCGGTCATCCTGATGCAGAAGTACTTAAAAGTATTACCTTCACCTCTGTGAAATTCCTTAAGTAACATCACTTAGAAGGGCATAAAAGCACTGCCTGAAAACATAAATTTCTTGTGGCTCACATCAATGTGGGCATAGAATGTTCTCAAAAGGTAAATCATTGTCAAGTATCTCTCAAAAAAAAAAAAAAAAAAAAAAAAAAAAAAAAGTCCTGAGTAGGAAAATCACCCAAATTTAGGAAAGACCTATCTTAGGAAAGTTGTACATTCATAATGGAAAACAGGGATTAATTTTTCACTGATATTGATCCCCAAGCTTTAAAAAGTTTTTAATTTCTTGTTTCTTTAGACAAGACTTTGATATGTAGTTTATGCTGGCCTTGAACTTGAGGTAATACTCCTGCCTCAGTTTCCTAAGTGCTGGGATTTGATAGGCATGCAGTACCATGTCTGGCTTCCTTTTAAAATTTAAGATAGGGTCTTACTAAATTGCCCAGGCTGAACTCGAAATCATAATCCTCCTGCCACAGCCTCCTAGAGTAAGCACATTTAATCTTATAAACAGAAAGTTGTGGTTAATAATATTAAGTAATGAAGGTAGAGAAGAGTGCTTTCTTTCTCTAATTTGAAATAACCCTTTTATTACTTGGTAAACTTCCAAAAAAGAGAGGTCTGTTTGTGACTTTTTTTTTCTGGTATATTAGTCAATGTGCCTTACCCCAATCACCTGCGAGAGCTCTGCAACATGTGGAAAATTTCAGATGAACTTTAGATCTATTTTTATCAAGTCCATAAATATCATGTTGGGCATTTAAGTAAGACTGCATCAAATTTAGAGAACAGTTTGCAGAGAACAGATCTTTATCAAACATTTTCACCTGGAAATATTTATCTTTTCAATTTACAAGTTTGACTTAGCAATTCACGTAGCTTTTGCTGCTACTCACGTAGCTTTTGCTGCTACTCACAAAGCATCTGCACCCACTGTTCGTATCTGAATTAGCTCAATCTATCTACCCACCTAGCTACCTACCTATTAATACACATTATCTTTCTTTTGTTGGATGTACAGCTCGAATGGCTATTTTCCAGCCTTCTCTGCAGCTATGAATGATACTGTCATTGAGTGGAGCTTCCAGAAAAACTTCAAGGAGTACCTTTTTATTTCTGCTTTTTCTACTTGGAACTCTGACGTGATGGGCAAAGTTCTGGAAGCATTCAATCCTAAGGGTGACAACATTCTAGGGAGATGATGCAGACGGACAGAGGATCTTGAGTTCCTGTGTTTTTCTTCTCTCAATGCAGTACTGGCGGTCAAACCTAGGTCCTCATGTAAGCTAGTATAGCACTCTACCACTGAGCCAAATCCCCAGCATGAGGATCTATTTTATTTTATTTTATTTTATTTTATTTTATTTTATTTTATTTTATTTTATTTTATTTTTTTGTCTTTTTCGTTTTTATCGGTACCAGGGATCGAACTCACCACTGCCTGCTTGCAAGGCAGGCGCTTATGCCGCTGAGCTAAATCCCCAGCCCCAATGACGATCTGTTTTAAATGAGACCATATCCCTAGCATGTCACTAGGTACTGCACATAATACCTTCTATAATAATATTCTATTCTACTACCTTATTAAAATTCTGGATTAGTTTTATTGTTTATTTTCTTGGAAATTTCAAAGTAGACAGTTATAAAATCTCTACAACAAAACAAAATACAACCTGTCAATGCATTTCTTGCCTACTTTATAGTTCTTAGTGTATCACTGCATTTTCATACAGGTAATCTCGGGCTAGATCTTTGAGTAGAGTATTAAAAGGTATACAGCAATGACTCAAACAGAAAACCATTTTATAGGACTAAGATCACACTGCAATACAATAAAAACTCTAGGTCAATCACAACACAAACACTTTGAGGAAAATATCCAGTTGCCCACAATTATAAATTATAAAATTATTTCTGAAAGTTAACTGATTAATGTTAAACTGAAAAACTCCCCTACAACTCAGGATCATCTAGTTACTGACAGTAACACTGAAAAATTCAGTGTGGGTTCTGTTGCACTAACACCTAGTTTTACCAAGCACGTACACCATCACATCGCAGTCTCACAGCAACCTTAGTGAGACGAGGAAACACAGAGGGCACACGGAGGTTATGTAACTTTCCTGGAGTCATGTGACAAAGAAATGATAGTCAGGGTTCAAACCCAGGTCAGGAGATTCTAGGGGCAAAATCAACACAGCATTTAAGCTTATTTATATTCATCTGTAACAATAACCAATGGAAAGTAATACGCAAGTTTCATTTAAAGGTATTTGTAAGTAAGCTAGGATCTTTTCACACATTTTTCAAAATAAATATACGAAAAGCTAAGCTAAAGAAATTTTGTGCAAAAATGAAAGCAAAAAAAATCTGTAAAACTACCTAAGTTGGTACCAGAAGAGATCTCTGGGTAACTTACCAATAATTTCCAATTCTTTTTAGTCATAAAACCCTCTGTCATATTAAATCTTACCTAAGAAATCCAGTATACAAATAAAACCAGACCCATACTACCTCAGCCCAGCTCTCCAATTCTGAGGCTTTGTAGGAAAAAAACCTTTTCAGACCCAAACTGCCTTGTAAGCTTTCTAACTGGGTGTGGGGGTTCACATCTGTCACCTCAGGATTCAGGAGGCCAAGGCATGATACTGCTGTGAGTTTGAGACTAACCTGGGCACCTTGCCTCAAACTTAACAAACAACCTCCTCCTGAACAAAAGCCCCAAAACATTTTTTTAGCAGCAATTACGAAATCATACCACTTCCCCAGTGAAGTCTTGATGCAGACAAGAACCTATCAGTCCTATAGTTTATGAAATCACATTTTCTACTATTTTCAAAAAACTAAAAAGATGAGAATTCTCACGGGAAGCAAGAGAAAAGAAAAAAGGCTGAAGTTCCCATCAGGTGACACAGAGGCCAGGTTAGCAGGCCCAGAAAGGGAAGAGAAAGGCAGGCCCAGGTCAGCAGGGCACAGGAGTGACTGCCGGCCTCTTCCTCTCCCTCTCCCTGCTGTCCTGAGCGGCCAGGCTCAGAAGTCGTTTCCTTCAGAGATGGGCCAGAGCCAGTGATGTGCAGGAAATCGAGTAAGTCTGTGAGACGTCTTTCAGCACCTAAGCAAGTGCTACGGCAGCTTCAGCTGAAAATGTGTGATGACTGAGGCTGGCACTCGTGTCAGCACTACGCCACAAGACGCGAATGCTCTGCAGTGCTGTGCACCCCTCACTGCTCTCACAGGTAACGGGATCCCTGCCTTTCAGAGGGATCTGTAATTGTCATGCTGCTGTTTTACAAGCAGTGCCTTAAGGCTATATCCCAGTGACACAGGCGTGGAGAAGAAAGTCTTGTTGGTAGACTGGTCTTTTGCAGAAATAAAAGACAAATGAAAATCTTATGCTCTTTCTGTGTAACTTCACAGAGAATAAACTCCTTTAAGAGAATGCTCTCACTTTGTACTGTACCTATTTGTGCTCTCTGAAATGACAAAGATCATGCAACATTAAAACTAAATGGGAAGGATAAATAGGGAAAGTGACAAACATAAAAAAAGATGAAGGCCAAACTACTCTGGGCCAGGACCTAACCAAAGGTTTCTAACACATGCTCTAGGTTTGATTAAGAACACATCCGAGTTCTAACCCAGTTCTTACCACCTCTGGAGACTAACTCATTAATTTATTTCTATAGTGAGGCAAGTACCTGGGTTGAGACTCACTTGATCACTCATTACAAAACAAAGAATTGTGAAAGTG